TAAACAATAAAAAAAAATTACCAAATGAGATGCCTCCTTCCTTTAATTTCTATTATAAAATCCTGCAAAAAATAAAATTTATATCAATATTAATTAACACCAAAAAATAGTTAATCACAAATTACAAACTAAATGGGAAACTTAATAAAAAAATTATAAAATTATAACGAAATATAAACAATAAAAAAAAATTACCAAATGAGATGCCTCCTTCCTTTAATTTCTATTATAAAATCCTGCAAAAAATAAAATTTATATCAATATTAATTGAAACAAACTTGTAAATTGTAAAAGAAATAAACTAATAAGAATAAAATTAAAGGAAGAAAGAAAATGAGCGAAATTTAAGGAGATGAAACTAAAGGAAGGAATGTATGAGGAAAAGAGAATGTGAGAAAATGGATGAGAGGATGAGAAGCTTGAATGAAAGAAAAGGGAAAGTGAAGAAAAGAGAAGATGAGACAAAAGAAGAAATGAAAGAAAATGATGGAAGGAAAGAGAAATAAGGAGGGGAAGTAATTAAAAGGAAGAGAAAGATGAGAAATATGGGTGTGGAAGGCGGAATGAACGAAAGAGCAAAAAGAAGCAAGAAGGAAATGTGTAAAATACAATTTAAAGTGCCTAAAGTGTTTAGACTATTTCGGTCAAATTTTTTGACCGAAATAGTTTTGGCGGACAATTAAGAATGTTTCACTTTATTTGTGGAGCCAAAACATTAATTTCGGATAAAAATTTTGACCGAAATAATTTTGGTGAAAAATTTAAGAAATTTCACTTAATTCTTGGAGGCAAAACAATATAATTTCGGTCAAGTTTTTTGACCGAAATAGTTTCTCAAAAAATTAAAAAAATTTAGGAAAGAAAGCGCCATAGTAATAGAATTAAAAAAAAGAGACAATTATTTCAATCAAGATGCTTGACCGAAATAGTTTTATAGAAAATTAAAAAAAAAATTAAGAAAGAGAGTGCAATACTAATACAATAAAAAAAAAAAGGAGAGAGTTATTTCGGTCAATATGCTTGACCGAAATAATATCATAGAAAATTAAAAAAATTTAGGAAAGAAAGAGTCATAGTAATTTTCTATGGAAATTTTTTTTTTTTTAAAAAAAGGAAGACACTTATTTCGGTCAAGTCTCTTGACCGAAATAGTTTCATAGAAAATTTAAAAAATTTACAAAAAGAAAGCATCATACTAATAGAATTTAAAAAAAAAGGAGACAACTATTTCGGTCAAAATGCTTGACAGAAATAGTTTTATAGAAAAGTAAACAAATTTTAAAAAAGAAAGTATCATACTAACACAATTTTTTTTAAAAAAGGAAACAATTATTTCGGTCAAAAGTTTTGACCGAAAAATATAGCTAAATTAAAAAAAATTTACTTAATTAATTCGGTCAAAATTTATGACCGAAATATTTATTATTTTATTATTAATTTAACTCGGATAAAATACTTGACTGAATTAACGATAACGCTAATTGGCGCTCTTTTATTTTGGTCAATATATTTAACCGAAATAATTTTAGACCGAATTATTATGTTAAGTACCTTTTAATCGGACTAAAATATATTTCGGTCAAAATTCTTGACCGAATTAAGTTTTTTTTTCAGTCAAGATATTTTCTTGTCCGAAATATTTTATCAGAAATAAAGTTTTTTCTAGTAGTGTTGGTACTATTATTTTGTTGTTTATTATATTATTGTGTTTTATAATTATTTTTTTATAGTTCAATGCTATGGTTTTAACCTAATAAGATATATTTAAAATAATATTAAAAATTGACTAATCCCACCAAACCACACTAATTCAATTTAAATTGAATTAGTTTAATTATAATATAATAATAAATTTGATTAATTTAAAAATGTTACTAATTAATTAAATTACTCTCGTTTTAAAAATATTAAAATCTGATACTATTCGTCACTGCAAATATACCCCTATCTAAAAGTCACCAGCAACCAAATCCCCCCGCTAACTTGCAATTCCGTTACCAGTCCGCAGAAAAAGTTTTAAAGGTTTTTTTTTTAGAAAGAAATATTATAAACTCAACAAGGATTGAAAAAAATCAGAACATTTTAGTAATTAAAATGTCAAAAATGAGTATGAAAAAAAAAATTACAATACTCTTAATGAATTATTACAAAAAAATTTTATTAAAAATATTTAAATAATTTTATAAATAATTTTGACATGACATTTAAGGGGTTAGGATATTTTTCATTTTTTTCAAGAGCAATGCTAGGGGCACTCGCCTCCTGCACTCTCCGGCCAGCACTTTCTCTTTTATTGGGCCACGTTATTTTGGTTTTAGAGAGGTTGCGCTGAAAGCTTTAAAGAAGTTTATGTGGCCCAATGAAAGGGGAAGTGTTGGCTGGAAAGTGCAGAAAGCGAGTGCCCCTAGCACTGCTCTTTTTTCAATCAACAAATGGAAAGGTAAATAAGATATGGCTCCAATTAATTAATTGATTAAGAATATTAAATTTTAAGTTGAAAATCTTAAATATTTGTTTTATATATTTCATAATCAAATAAAAAAAAAGAGTGGGACAGATAGAGAATAAAAAAATCAAGAAAAGAAAGGAAAAATATTCTTCAAAAGAGAGAGATCTTGAAGACAGAAATTTACATGACAGGAGAAGGAAATCCGAACCCTAATTCTGAGGGTGATAATTACCATTTGATTTAATTTAATTCCTAAGAAAAGATAAACAAATTGGAAGCGAAAAAAATTTATCAAAGCGTACAACAGAAATCCCGTCATTTCATCGGGATTATGATAAGTTAAAAGTACACATTCAAGGTACATTATATGTCTTTTAAAACTTGCACACAAAACGAACACTGAAACTGCAAATAACTACTAAACGTAAAGTCTTAAATTTTCAATGACGCAAACTGCTAATAGGAACTCTCGATCACCCGTAACTGAAAAGACCTCGAGAAGAAGTTTGCTCCCTTTTATTTGTTTATTATTCGAGATCTCTTAAGTTTTTTTCTGATAGTTGATAGTTGATAATTGGTAGCTCAAGATTTTTATTCTGTTTTGCAATAATTTCACTGTAATAGAAAGAAGGAGGAAAAAAATGAAAACATGGTTAATAATCCAATCAAAACGGCAAAAAA